GGAGCTGAGGCCCGGAGCTGAGGCCCGGAGCTGAGGCCCGGAGCTGAGGCCCGGAGCTGAGGCCCGGAGCTGAGGCCCGGAGCTGAGGCCCGGAGGAACCTCAGCGTGTCTCAGTATTAGAAGAGTCTCATGTCTCAGTATATATCTGATGTCTTTGTCCTCAGTGTTTCATTGAGATGGAAAACGCAGAGGACGCAGAAAAAATGGCAGAAGATTGCAAAGTCAATCCACCAAAGCTCCACGGGAAACGTTTGACGGTTTACGTCAGCAGGAAGTACAGGCAGCTCAAACATGGGTGAGTTGACCACTTTGACCTCTGCAGCAGAAACGGCCTCAGTGGCCACAGGCGTGTTTGGGTTGTCCGTCAAAGATGAACTGAAATCTTAGTAACATCAATGTTAATCAGACCTCCAGCAGTTAACCCTCTGGAAACAGAGTATGAATATAACTTTGATATGTAGAATAAGAAGACAAAGTGTTTATCCACAGCATGGATCCACTTCAACCTGACTGCTCTGTTTCAGCGTCACTAAACTTTGTTCTTTGTGTTTTTTAGACATCGATGTCCGAGCACAACGAAGAGAGAGAACAGCAGCTCGACAGAAACGTCGTGCAAACAGCCTGAAGAGCCTCCGACCAAGAAAGCCAGGGAGGAGGAGAAGCCAGAGGAAGCAGAGAAAGAGAAGAGGGTGGAGGAGGAGGGGGAGGTGAAGCAGGCGGAGACGCAGGCGGATATGCAGAGCTGTGACGTGAGCGTCAGTGACGAGACGAATCCTGAAGTTTCTGATCAGAAACCGAAGAATGAGGAAGAAGTGAGTCATCGATCATTTCAACTTTGTCTGGTTTACTCAAACTTACTTCTCTGAGTCTCACACGAGCTCCAGACAATCGCTCTAATGTAAAACTTCTCAAAGCAAAGTTTCAAAGTGCTTCACAAATCAAATCAAAAACTAAACATGTGAAATTTAAACACGACCACAGACAAAAATAATCAAAAGTAGCTTTGGGTCAGATCGGGGATGTCTTACAATAAAAGTATGTTCGAAGCTTTGATTAAAAGGAAACTAAGGAGACAAAGATAAATGTCAAAACATGTCTCAGCTGCAGGACGTCAAACAGGAGCAGATGGAGATGACGCTCAATCAGGACAGACAGACCGAACCCCCCCCACCTGCTGAAAACAAACCCAGTGTGGCATCTCTGCCGCTGCCCCCCCATGACCCAGACACCCCCATCGGTGAGCAACGACGAGTGAAGATGTTTTAGCCGTCGCTCTGTGACAGGATGAACTCAGGTCTCTGTTTGTTTGCAGGTGTTGAACACGTGAAAACGGGTTTTTACTGTCGAGTCTGTTTCCTGTTTTACTCCAATGAAGACATGGCAAAGAAAACCCACTGCAGCAGCCAGGCGCACTACGATAAGCTGCAGGTGAGACACAGCCCCGCCCACAGCCCCGCCCACACCTGAGACACATCTGATTCACAGTCACAGATGCTTCAGATTTATTGTATTCACATTTCACCGGGTGAGTGTTAGTGACAGTTTTCACGTGGCATCTATTGCACTTGTGTCCGTCCTGGGAGACGGATCCTCACGTGTCTCTCTGAGGTTTCTACGTCCTTCCCGTTAAAAGCTTCTTTAGTAGTTTTCTCTTGTTGAGTTAAGACACAGGATGTCACACCTTTTTCAAGATCTTTGAGACAAATTGTGATTATTGAATCTGGGCTGTACAAATAAAATTTGATTGACATGTTTTGTGATGAACGTTTTCTTGTTTCCTGCTTCAGAAATATCTGGAGAAGGAACAAACCAAAGCAGAGAAGAAGAGAGTGAAGAAGACGTCGTCATGAAATCAGCTTCTTCATCATGGAGGAGCAGGAACTTTAACTTTTTACTTTAGTTTGGTGATGATGAGGAGACGCTCTTCATCGAGGAGCTCGTCCATTCAAACGCTGGAATGTCAGAAACGACCCAGGTGTTAATGAGGCAGGTAAAGGAAGACGTCATCGGTGTTCAGCTTCATCACGAGGGGAACGGCGGACTGTGAGCTTCGCTTTCTGTATTCAGATAAAATTATTCACCCGAACTATTTTTAATGGGTTTAACAATCCTTCCATCAATTTAACTAGTGGATGGATACACTGCGGCGCTTCGTCAGGAAATAGTTCCAGCGTCAAACAGATTAGAGTCAGTTTCACCTTCAAAGTGAAAAATATTTAACAAAAAACACAGAACAAACTGAAAATGTTTTGAAGTTTTGTTTATTTCTTTTATAAAATTAAACAAGTTTCATCAAATTTGACTGTGACATCATCGTCTTCACACTAAACATCAACAGAAACTGTGATGTCACCGGTGGTTTGTGAGTTTCTGTTCTGAAGCATCACATGTTGTTCAGCGCCATCTTTAAAAAAACAAAACAAAAGTAACCATATTTGGATGTGCAGGGGTGGAGTCTGACTGAGCATGAGGACACGCCCACCTGCCACCCATTGGAGGGGGCTAGCTGACGCTGCAAAAATAAACGAAGTCGTAACAGCAAATTGAAGTTTTTACTAAACATGTTTTTGAAAGCGGGAATCCGCACCGCTGATCATCTTCCTGGTTTCAAACCCTGAACTCTGCTGAAGTGTCCACGAGCAGAAAAGCTTTTTAAAAAGTCTTCAAAGCAGCAGACGTCTTTTTCACCACAGTCTGACCTGGTTGATCAGGACTTCTGGGTAATGTAGTGTTTCAAAGTGACTCATTCAGTTAGTTTCCGTCTCTGGAGTTTGTTCAGTGAACCGATGAATTCATCTTCAGCGACTCAGCTCGTCCACGGATCGATTCCCGTCTTCTCCTGGAAAAAACCATTTCTGTTAATAAATGTTTGTTTCTGTCGTTTCAGCTCGTTCTTCTCTCTCTGATGTTTTTCAAGTGTTTCTCATCAGTTTGGTTCAATCAGTTATTGATGATATAAAAACAAGTGAAGACGTCATGTTTGACAGCTGACACTGACTTGAGTCAGTTGTGTGTGTGTGTGGGCGGGGCTTTGATTAAGAAACTTCTGTGACATCAGAGCAGCTGGAGTCAACGCAACTAAAGATTAAACATCAGCTGACGATCACACAACATATATTCATTCTCAAATTAAAGAGTTTAATATTTAAGGAATTGAAATAAAACGATACGTAAAGTGATTTTAAATTTGTATTATTTAAAAGTTTTCTGCTCATTTCTATTAAAAACTTTGAGTTTAAACATTGAACATGAAATAAAGTTAAGATTTCGATCTAATTTGAATAAACTAATGAGTAAATGAACAGAGGTTTAGTTTGAGCTCTGATCTGTGTCACGTATTGATTCACTGGTTTGAACCTGGTACTTCCTGTAGTGCGTCAGGCTGCTGCAGTGCTGCAGCTTGGCTTCTTCCTCGTCAGCGTAGATCACCTGACACAGGTGACAGAAGTAACCAACGACCGGCCGAACAAACTTTGTGCCTTTGGAGACAAAACACACAACTTGGCGACAGTGAACGCACCACTGCTGTGGACTTTTCTGTCCTCGTCTATCTAGATTTTTCCATGATGTCATTCTGCGTCAGAGGAGCAGATTCTCTTACCAACAGGTTTGGTGGGTTTCTCAGACTCAGCGATGCCCCCTACAGGTTGTTCCAGTTTCACTGCATCACCAGAATCTGGAGATTTCTAAAAAAACAATGTATCATAAGAGATTTCTAATATTCTATAATATGATATAAGTTAACACACTATAACATCGTATATTATGTTTCCAGACTAATGTTTGAAAAGATCATCAAGAAGATGAGACTCTTCAGTGTCACCTGCTCAGTTTGTGGTTGATCTGGACTCGTCTCTGAAGCGTCCTCAGGAATCATCGCTGGCTCTTTTTCTGCAGCGTCTTTCTCTGTCGCCTCCTTTTCATTTTGTGATTTCTGTTTTTTATCAGGAAAAGATTTGTTCTCACTCCCGACGTTTCCTTTCAACATCTTGTCTTCTGGACCCATCTTTGGCAACAACTCTCTCTCCGGAGTCTTTCTGGGTCCCGACTCTCTCTCCGGAGTCTTTCTGGGTCCCGACTCTCTCTCCGGAGTCTTGCTGGGTCCCGACTCTCTCTCCGGAGTCTTTCTCGGTCCCGACTCTCTCTCCGGAGTCTTTCTCGGTCCCGACTCTCTCCTGCTCTCAGACTTCCTGCGGGCTTCGTCTCTGTCCGAGGTTCTGGATTTACTGATCCTGTCTCTCCTCCTGCTGCTTCGACTCTCACTCTTCTCCATGTCTGAGTCTGACTGAACGTCGTACCTGCAGGGACAGAGATTCAGGGTCAATGAGCACGTAACGTAACTCATCACATTCAGAGTGAAGAACATTCCAGAATGAGAACAATGTAAAAACTGTCACGGGGATCAGTGATTGATGATTCGTGTATAAAAATGTTTCTGGATCTCGTGAATCTGATCAGTGACGAGGCTGCAGACTCTGACCCGTTCACTAGTCGGGTGTATTTGTGGGAGATGTTGACGAAGAGTCTGGATCCGTGAAAGGTTTTATGGTTCAGAACTTGTGCTGCTTTCACTGCTTCAGCAGACGTCGACATCTCGATGAAACCCTGAAAAATAAAAACGAGAAATGTTGAGGTCTCATCAAACTGAAGTTTGAGAATTGATTGTTTCAGATATGTTCTCTAACCTGTTGCTGTCGGCGGATCAGGAAGTAGCGCACCGCTGTTCCAACACCTTTGACCAGTTGGACAAACCCGGCGTCGGTGTAGAAACGCAGCGGCAGTTTTTTGAAGAAAATGACTCTGGTGGTCGGAGACTGAAAACAGAAAAAACCATCATGACGAGTCTGAGCAACAACATAGTTTCACTGAGGATGAGACGAACCTTGAGCTCAGCTGCAGCCGCTGAAAACAAGAACACATGGCATGTTATTCAAGGTCCCACAGGTCAAAGGGAACATGTTCAAGAACTCGACTTTGTCTCCAGATCATTTGTCAGAACCTGAGTCATCGGACTGTTCTTCTTCTTCTTCTTCTTCCAGTTCATCCAGGGTGATGCAGTTCTCCAGGTCCACGGGGAAATCTGGTCCCTCCTGAACAACAACACAAGAACATGAGAACAAGAC